TATATATATATATATATATATATATATATATTATGTTGAATATTTTATTTTGATTTGTCATTTTAATTATGAAAATAATTAATTCGACATAAACTTTTTAAAGTATATTTGTATACTTGTTTAAAATGATATGGGTATTTTATTTGATTTAAAATTAATTTTATATTAATTTTTGGTGTCAAATAAAATACACTTTGAACATTTAAGTGGAGAAAAATTTCAAGAATCCTTCTCACTTTTTACAATCAAACTTTCGGCCATATCATCTTAAAGGTTGACAAATTGGTTTTAATTTGCTTGATTGATAATTTGTGGACTAATTAATTTTGTCATTTAGCTAATGACAAAAATAATGGAGCATCTTTGTTTTTATTTAAAACACCACACCATTAGCCTTTCATTATGATTTCAATTTTTTATGGTGTTGTTCGGAATGTTCGCTCATAATTTTCTTGCGAGAGAAATTTATTTTGTGTTCCATTAATATCATTTTGTGTATAGAAAATATCTATAATATTTTCTAAATATTATTAGAAATATTTTCTATAAGAAATATACAAGATTATTATTATCCCAATTTTAATCTTTATATTTTATACTACTATAATCTTTACTAGCATAAAGATTGTGGTAGACTCCGGCGTTGTTCGTGTGTCAAAATTGGAGACCGGATGCTTGAGGTTTGCATTTTCAACGCTGTTCCTACGTCTTCTTTGTTTTTACCGCTTACGGAGAAAGGTATAAATTTCTTACTACTATAAGTTTTAGTACGTGATTCTGGACAAGATAATCATGTTAGGATGTTAAAATTTTTATATTCCGCTGCCTATCCTTGCATGGTTACCTTTCACGGAGGAGGTAGTGAGTTTTAAGTCATAAGAAGTATTTATTCGTGGTGACTTTAACTTATATTTTTGTAGTAATTTATCACTCCTATGTACAACTAAAATTATTATTTTATTTGTTGAAAAGTCAAACTACAGTTATGTTTTCTCAAAAAATTATTAGTAAACAATACATTTGTTGAAAAAGAATGCATAAAAACAATGGTGCACCAATTTTTTAATCACGTTGGTGGTTTTTTATGAATTAAAATATTTTCAAAGCGTCAAAATATTAAGGCATGTTTTGGCATTAGTATGACATGATTTCATTTCATTTTAGAACGACATGGTACCAAATGTGTCTAGGCAAAAAATTGGAGATTAGATACAATACTACTCTCTCTGTTTCTAAAGAGTTCCTATTTTGACTAATGGATGAAATAAGAAATGTATATTTGTAGTTGACTTTCAAATTTTCTTTTGTGTGATGGATAAAAAAATTAACATGTAATGTGTAAATTATTAGTGAAAAAGTATAAGTGATATGTATGATAAGAAAAAATATAAAAGTTAAAATGTCTAGAAAAAGTAAAAACTTAAAGAGGGAGTGCTTTAAAAATATTAACTTTTTGTTGTAAAAATGGCAGCATGAACGTACCATATTGATTTCACTAGTTGTTGACGTATTGTTTTTCAAAAAATAGGTTTTGATTTTTGAACAATCAATTGAGGTTAATTTTCTTCAATTTTTAACGCAATTTTCTAGAAATTGGGGCTTTCCAAAATTCTAGAATTGTGATGCTCTTTAGAGATTCATTTTCTTTAAGTTTTCGTTGAAACTTGTTTGGAGATTTAGATTGATTTATTGGATTGTGTTAAAATCTTGGAATTTCGAATGTTGCTAATATAATGGAATGTCCACTTTAAAATTATATCAAAACATGAAAAATTTACTAGGTCTTACATGTACAGATTGGATGTATGGAAAAATAGAAAATTGTAACGTTTTTAAATACCTAATCTTTTATTCCATTAAAATAGAAAAAATTTCCCGATCTTATATATTTTTAAGGTTCTGTAGTTGTAAGGTTTGATCGTTTATTGTGCCTTGACATTCACAATTTTTTTTTGAAATAGAAAATGTCTCACGATCGACAAGTTAGCGATACAAGAAAGTGTATTAGAGATTATGATGATGATGACGATGAATTGGATCAAATGTTGGAAGAATAATTATAGTATCATTACAAACATTTGAACTTACTCAAAGTTTAATTGGCATAAGGAGAAAAAAATGGCGGTAATCACTATAGAGCACTTGACAGTTTTTTTTTGTTTGCAATTAAATTTGGTATTAATTATATGCTTTAAGTGTTTGGGTAAGTTTGTTGAGTTTGATTATATGTTTACTTTCCCTTGAATTTTCTTTTTTTCCCTTTCACCAACTTTACATTTACACTATGTTTGACTCAAGGATTTTGGAAGGAAAAGAAAAAAAAATGGTTTTCTCTCATTTTTCTCACCAAAATGGAAGGAATTTGGTTTTTCCTCCACTTGGTACATTTTGCCTACTCATTTTTTTTCCTTCCACTTTTCCTTTTTTTTCACTCTAACCAAACAAGAAAAATGGTTTTCCACTTCATTTTCTTTTCTTTTCCTTTTCAAATTTCTTGAACCAAATATAGTGTTAGGGGGGAAAATACGAACATACATAGTTCGCAGTGACAATGCCAGCAACAAGCTTGACTGGTGTGCATGTCAATGTTCCGGCAATCCTTTGATTGTCAAAAACGAACTCTACAATACTACGAGTATTAGGTTGGCTTGTAGGGACCATACTAAATGCACATTTTAATAAGGATTTACCTAGTGTATGTCTTTTTAAATTTGTACTCCCGATATCCATTGACTTTATGTTGATAACTAGGGAACCAAATCCCACTCTTTTTTCTTGTACAAATTCTGTCATGTATATTTGAACAATTTGAAGTTGCTTTGCAATTATGATATGCTTCACTTAGGTATTTTTCCATCTCATATGTGCCAGTGTCTAAGTATTTAAATTCTTTTATACTATGATTTCTAGAGTACTATTCTGTTAAATTAAATGCATTTTTTGTCTTTATATATTTCCATCTTATATGTATAGATTTGTAATGAATTTGGTGAATAGTGTGAAGAGTATATATACATATATGCCAACCTTTTGTAATTGGATTTTTTCATTCAACTCTGCCTAGCACTTTTTTTTTGCTTGCAAGATCATCCACAAGCAAGTTCTTAAAAAAATAAGACTAACGAATTGGGATGATATTTGGGTTTTGTCTGTTTCGGATAGAGCAGTGGGGGATGGTGTGGGGCAATGTGTTCACCCAGCGATATCTAAGGAGATAACGAGTGAAAGAATGAGCACGTCAACAGGTTTCGTGTCTAAGAAGTGAAGAAAGACCTTTTGGATAAGGCAGTTATAACTTTCGCGAACTCATTCCTGGAATATGCTCAAAGCAAAGACCAGCGAGAAAGAAATCCATGACATTTTTACTGAAGTGGATGCAATCTTTCGCCACCACGTTTTGAAGGTAGTTGAGAAGTTCATGAACATGCGAGATAAGTTCCAAAGCTCAATAACTTGTCTGAAGACCAGAAGCTGAATTAGATTCTGTTATGTTTGGAAGCGTTATAAACAATTACCGAGTATTAAATATTTATTTCATATTATTAATTTTTATAATTGTCATACATTAGCATGTATTTTGTTTATGAAATGCTTGGTCATTATGTTATTTGAGATTTTGTTAACAAAATTTTGTCTATTAATCATTTGAAATGAAATTCTAGTACTTGCCTAACAACTTTTAGATTTGAATTCTAGAATTGAATTCTTGTGAAGATCCAAATAGTATTTGGATTTCAAATGAATTTTGAATTTCATGTGTTTGCCAAACATTAAAAAAGAATTTGGATTTTAGGACTTAAAACTATAGAATTGAAATTCGTTAATTGAAACGAGTTCCATTTTCCAAACGCTACCTTAATGAAATAGGGAAACAAAATGGAAAAAAAATTGATCATGTAAGTAGTAAAACATGCACTTAATTTAAGACGGAACAAGCATATGTATTGAAGGGTACTAGTTTCCACAACAAAAAATGAAATACTTCCAAATACCCACAGGGCACAACATAAAGGTTTGAACATTAAAAGAGCTGAAAATTGATAACATGATATGGGTTACGTGTCAAATTCATAATGACAGCCATTATTAAATAAATGCATGCAATAGGTTGGCTGCAATTTACCTAGGGAAAATTGCCATGGACCTGAGGACACATGGAGCTGCCGCTGACAGAATAGCAGACGGGCTTTCCCAGATAAACCGCCACTCCTCCATTTTTCATCTTGAAATGTAACGGGAAGCATTCAATTAGAAAATACTCAAAATCTGAAACTAACGGATGACACTGGACGTTAAAAATCCTGCCTTGTCCCAAATCAACTAGGGTTGAGAGCTCTACATCTATAAGGGAGGCGACTTTTTCACTAGGCGCCCATAGATTCCCATGCACAAACTCCCGCTTTAAATAATCGTAAGCACGTAACACCCCATTGCCGATGCGACAAAGTACCAAGTGCTTCCAGACTGCCACAGGACCCTCCAAGTTTTCATGGAAATCAGCATCGAAACAAGACCACGGTTGAGTTTTATCCTCAGGGTCGAAGGCGTAGAGGCCATCCTGCCTAGAAAATTTGATCAGAACTATCTTCTTATTCTTACTGCTACTACTACCACCCCCATTAGGATGAGGGACGACAGCACGAAAGCTCATTCTGCCGCGGTACTCTTTCGGGGTTTCGGGCAGGGCCACCCACTGATCCGATTCTGTGTCGTAAACCTCCGCATAGGGGTCCGGGACTGAGTTACCATTATTACCCCCAAAAACATAAATCCTGCCAGCAACTCCGAAAACGCCACTAGGCCAGTTTCGATCTTGATGGAGCATGGGAGGAAGTTTTCTCCACACTACTAATCCTTCGTTTTCATTGGGACAAGACGTGACCCGCACACAGGACTGACCTTGACCGATAAGGTAGATAGAACCATCCATTGAGAGGGAATAAAAAAACCCAAAGTGTGGAATGCTTGCATAACTCACTATTGGTATGGTTTTGTTTTTGCTGTCCAGATGCCTTCGATGAGTTGTAACATCATCAACATTCAAACAAAACCATCTTCGCAGTGGTAGCGACCCACCTACCCCCTGAGACACATAGATTAAATTCTTTTTGCTCTCATCAATTTCAACCACAGATGACTTGCCCGTTCTTGCCATTCCTCACAGATAGGGTTCCTAGTTCATACAAGATGAGTTTTAATAAATAAAACAATAAATAAAACATGCAAAATAAATGAGATCATACTTGTGGTTTATGCATGACACACAAGCGTGGAGCTCTTTAAGTGTAACCCACCCCCTCAAAAAATGATTTCTGTCTGTGTTAGGTATTACCAGTATAATGGAACCCAGAGTTTAATTGTTGAATTCAAAAAAAGCAACCAGATTACTAAATGCTACGGAGTATGTATTTGTGCCCTTGAATCTTGGAAGATAAATGACACTTTAAAAATGAAAAACGGTTTTCGAATAATACTTGGAGCAAGTTTTCCATATACTTCAAGGACTGAACCAAGGAAGGGGAACAGAACATAAAGAATATCCTTTAAGTTTTGAATCGTAAACAAACCCACAACAAAACAGATCCCATGTTTGTTAAATTAGTTGTTCATAAATAACTCCTATTGTTATGTATTTAATTGCTACATATAATGCAAGTTAGCATTTACATGCAGACGAATATAGAAAATCTATGAGAGTCAGAGAGTGATTAGCTATTGTCCTCCCCCTAACTTGCCCTTCCCAACCCAAGCACCCCAGCGCTCACTCTAATCATACGCATCTCCGCCAGACCCATGTTCATGTTACTTTTGCAACCAATCACCTTTATGTCGACTCACAGCCCCACAACTCACACCCAACACCTCTTTGGCAGCTTCCCTGATGCAAATAACAATATGAGCCTGGTCAGTGGCCTTCACGGAAGACTCCCAAACACCTTTCTCTTGTACTCGCGCAATCAACTCTAGGATTTTCTCCCCATAAAAGCTCCCCCACCGAATACGTGCTAAACCACAAGTTGGATGTCTTTGCTTCACCCACTTGATCGTGACATCCATAACGAGCAACTTGTGTTGGGTGGTATGGTTCTCATTTGGGAGTACTTTACCATCCTTAAAGAGAATCCGATGATTCCAATCACACATGTGCAAGAGAAGGTAGTCGATCTGAGAGACAATTTATTTAAAATCAATTGTAGGGAGAAGCTTTCGTTTTCTCTCTCTATGGCGAAGAGGAGAGGAAGGCCTAGGAAGAAAGGATCGTCGATGGATCAATCGCAAGTTAACAATGGATCTAGAACCGGAAGCACTTTCAATACACCCGTAAGCAAACCAGCTGTATCTGAGGAGGGGAAGGAGATTCAGAGCTCTGAACCGGTAATTCCGCAGAGCGGGATTTTGGAGAAGAAAACGGTTGAACCCAACATCAACATTGAGGATCGACCTGATGATACTACTACGGGGGGAATACAGCAGAAGTCATACGCAGATGTACTCGAGCTGAATCAAACTATTCAGGTAGATCTTAAATTCATTCAATCAGATGTGATAAGTGGCCAGAGGATAGCTAAATTGACAAAGGATGATGTAATTGAAGAATATGGGATCCGGGATAAAGCTGTGGTATGTTGTGTTCTAGGGGCTAACCCTCCATTAGAGGTTTTTAGAGGATTCATTACTCGGATCTGGAAAGATTATAATATTGAGGATGTGTCTTTTGCAAAGGAAGGACAATTCAATGTGTGTTTCAAAACTGAAGAAGAAAGGAACGAGGTCAGTAAACGCAGGTACTATTTTTTTGATAACAAACCAATGCTGGTTCAGAATTGGGTCTCTGGTAAGGCAGTGGATATCACTAAACTGAGTGATATACCAATTTGGATCCAACTCCCTAACCTCCAAATGAAGTATTGGAGCTTGTCTGGACTGAGCAAATTGGGGAGTCTAGTTGGAAAACCTGTTAAAAGAGACAAAGCCACTGCCACTAAAGCTAAATGGAATTTCGCCAGGATTCAAGTAGAAGTACAGGCCGAACAGATTTTCCCAGATAAAATACAATTTGTGGATGAGGAAGATAGGGTTATAACACAAGAAGTTGCATATGAGTGGAAACCAGTATTGTGTGATCATTGCAATAAACTTGGACATGAATCTCAGAACTGCAGAAAGAAAGAGAAGGATCGGAAGAATCAGAAAGGGGGCCAGCAGAAAATATGGGTTCCTAAACAAAAACAGGGAAAAAATGAAGTGGTTGAAGAAGAGGAAGGGACAGGGAAGGCAATGACTACCAGGGATAACATAATCCCAACACAAGAAAATGGAATAGATCAGGATGGTTTTCAAATGGTCAGTGGCAGGAAAGCAGCTAGGGGGATGATAATGGAGGAAAAGGAGGTGGATCCCCCTTATGGTCCTAATCTTTTCTTAACATGATCTTGTGCTGGAACATTAGGGGATTAAATAATCCCACTAAACAATGGGAAGTCATCAGTATAATTAATAAGTATAAGGTATGTATTATGGGAATCTTAGAAACAAAAATCAAGAAGAATAAAGAAGAAGAGGTTCTTCATAAGATGTTTGGAAATTGGGGTACCCATACAAATAGTAATTCTCATCCTCTTGGTAGAATATGGGTGGTTTGGGATAAGAATAAGGTGACTGTTCAGGTGATTGACACTACAAGCCAAGTAGTTCATTGCAGATTCAGACATCTTGATTCCCAGGATTATGCAATTATCTCCTTTATTTATGGTTTTAATGACATTGCTAGTAGGAGGCAGTTATGGGATAATATCAGAGAGTTTGCAACCTCAAATGATGGTCCCTGGTGTATAGTAGGTGACTTTAATGCTGTACTAAATATAGAAGACAGGAAGGGTGGAGACCCTATAACAATGGATGAAATCCAGGACTTCAAAAAATGTATAGAGGGATGTGGGCTAGAAGAAATCCCTTTTGAAGGACCATACTATACTTGGTCCAATAAACAAAAAGGTGATAGAAGAATATGCTCAAAATTAGACAGAGCTTTGGCTAATATGGATTGGATGATTAGCTATAATACTAAGACTGTGGTAATAGAAGAAGGAGTTTCTGATCATTCTCCCTTGCTGCTGAAGAACATCAACTGGAAGCCCAAATCTAACAGCTCTAAGTTTTGTGACATGTGGATGCAGGACCAGTTGTTCCCCAGTAAAATTGGAAAGAAGAAGGGGATGGCAGAAGCATGTATAAGCTATTACAGAATTTAAAGAGACTTAAAGGCCCACTGTCAGCCCTTCATAGGAGCAGAAATCATGACATTCACAAACAAGTGGAAATTACTAGAGAGAACCTGTTAAGAACCCAGCTAGATATCAAGAAAAGCCAAAGTGATACACTCCTGGAGGAAGAAAAGAAGTTAAGCGCTGAGCTCTATAAAAAGGTCAAGGCAGCTCAAACCTTAAAATGTCAACAAGCAAAAGAAAAATGGGTCACTGAAGGAGATGGGAACTCCAGGCTATTCTTTGCGTGGGCTAAGAAAAGGAAGATTCAGAACTACATTATTAGGATTCAGGATGAGAATATGCAAGCTGTAGAAGGTACAGACCAGATTGCTGAGGTATTTGCAAAGTACTACAAAAAGCTCCTGGGCTCATCTGAATCCCTTCAAGAAGTGGATGAAGATGTTCTGAGAAAAGGCCCTAGACTTACAGTAAAACACCAAATGGAGCTGATCAAGGAGTTTACCCCACAACAAGTTAAGGAGGCAGTGTTCTCTATTCCAAACTCTAAAAGCCCAGGCCCTGATGGATTTAATAGTGGATTCTTCAAACAACAGTGGGGAACAGTGGGGAGACTAGCAACTAAGGCAGTTCTGGAGTTTTTCATGACTGGTAAAACGTTGAGGCAGATCAATGCGACAAATATCTCTCTTATCCCAAAGATTGACAACCCCATCTCTCCAGCAGATTATAGACCAATTGCGTGCCGCAATGTGGTTTACAAAGCCATTGCCAAGATGATCAGTAGCAGACTTAAAAATATATTACACCACATAGTGAATCCTAACCAAGGAGCTTTCATCAAGGGTAGAGAACTTCTACATAATGTGCTCCTTTGCCAAGAGATTGCCCAGGGTCATAACAGGAAGAACATATCCCCCCGATGTATGATGATGTTAGATATTAAGAAAGCCTACGACTCAGTCAGCTGGGATGCTATCTTGAAAATATTACATGGCCTTCTATTTCCAGCAGAATTTATTAATTGGATTCAGTTCTGTATTTCTACCCCCTCTTACTCCCTATGTATAAATGGAGAGAGCCATGGTTTCTTTAAGGGGAAGAAGGAGATTAGACACGGCGACCCTATATCCCCCCTTTTATTTGTTCTGATAATGGAATACTTTACAAGGATGTTACAGGAGGAAGCTAGTCAAGGAGGATTCAGATATCATCCTATGTGTGCAGAGTTGAGTATAATCAGTCTAATGTTTGCAGATGATCTGATAGTCGTTAGCAAAGGGGATGAGAAGTCTATCCAATGCATTATGACTACACTGGAAAGGTTTAGGAAGACCACTGGCCTGCAGATAAATCTTAGCAAATCTCAAGTCGTTTTTGGGGGTGTCAAACCCCAGCAGCAGGAAAAACTCCTCAAGCTAACTGGAATGAGTAGAGGCAATCTGCCTTTTACTTTTCTAGGGAGCCCTATTACTACATCTCGTCTTAAGGCATCTGAGTCTGAGAGACTGGTTAATAAGCCTACTGCAAAAATCACTGCCTGGAGCTCCAAGCATCTCTCCTATAGTGCTAAAGTAAGATTAATTAATTCCGTGCTTATGGGAGTCATTACATTCTGGTCTAGGATCTTCATCCTACCTAAGATGGTGAGTAAGAGGATTCTGAGTATTTGCCGTAACTTTCTCTGGAGAGGATTCATGTTTTGGCTGCTAATGCAAGATAGACTACTTACCAAGGCAAGAATGGTTAAGTGGTTCCCAACCAACGTGGAGTGTAGTCTTTGTGCTGGAGAGATAGAGGGCAGCAAGCACCTTTTTTGCGAATGTGAGTACACAAAGAGGGTCCTCAACTTAATTTTGCAGCCCTATGACATTAGGTATGATCCTGGCAGTATTAAGGATTTTGGGGACATGATCAATGCAAAGTTTGATGGTACTAAACGAAAAGAAGTTTTAGCGGCCTGGGCGATTGGATGCTATGGCGTTTGGAGAGCTCGAAATGGGGTTATTCACCAGAAGGCTATCACCGAGCAGAATACCATAGATTATATTAACTTTACTTTAAATAGCTATATCAATTTCAAGAGAATTAAACCAGCTAGTAAGTAGTATGTTATCTTGACTAGTTGTGGATGTGTTGTACTAAACAGGTTGCTTGGAAGTGATATACATCTGTGCTTTTGTTCAAAAAAAAGAAGGTAGTCGATCTGCGTCCTCCTCACTCTACTAAGAAAGGTAGTTAAGTGATCCTCTCGTTTAGGAAAGCAAGAGTTAACAACCACCAAATCACTCACTCCAACAAACTCCAAGAGTGAAGCCCCTGACTGGTTCCTATTGCCAAAGCTAAACCCACCTTGCACCTCCATATAGCCCTACGCTGAGTCCCCAATATGACCATTGAGGTCGCCTCCAATAAAGACTTTCTCGCTCTGTGGAAAAGCACCAACCACCCCATCCAGCGACTCCCAAAACTTCCTCTTAACTTCATCTTCCAAGCCAGTATGCGGGGCGTAGGCACACACAATATTGATAGCACACCCATCCAAGACAAACTTGATAGCCATCAATTAGTCACTAATCCTCTTCACCTCCACCACAAACTCCCAAAGCTCTGGTGCCACAAAACACCTACTTCATTCTTAAACCTAGCAAAGCCTAAGTACCACAACTTGAACACATCCACCTCACATACCGTGGTGCCCACCCACCTAGCCTACTGCGCACACGCTACTTGAAACCTTCTCCGCTTAAGAACTCGGATCAGCTCAATCGACTTACAGTGAAAGTCCCCCTATATTCCTTGAGCCAAACCCACACGTGACAATAACCTATCCCGTCTTTGCCTCCCGCCCCAACCTCATTATATCACCTTAGCTTTGCATTGCTAACCAGGAGACTAAACACGAACAGAAACATCTACAAGCAGAAAATAGGTCGGCAAAAACAAACAACACAAAACAAGAGATAGAGTAAGGTAGCAAAACAAATAATCAACAGTGAAAGCAACAATGGCAATAAAAACACACAAGAATAGCCAATATAGCAGTAAAGNGATGCAGCTAAAGGGGAGGGGACTGGGAGGGAGGGGTGCCGTCTAGGGATGTGATGTTGACAATGGCTGTGAGCAAGGGAAGGGGTGGAATCGGCGGTCGGAAGGGGAGAAAGAGGCGGCTGTTGGAGGCTTGCTAGTGGGGGCGGAGAGTAACCGGCGACTAGGGTTGGAGGGGGGGTTGGGGGGGTAAGGCTAGGTTTGGTGAAAGGGGGAGAGAGGACTTACCTGGGGCTAGAGTCGCTGACCGCCGTCGCCCACAGTCGACCTACGCTGCCGACAAAACCAAGAAGACAACTGGAGAGAGAGAGATCCAGCGAAAGAGGGCACCGATGAGAGTGAACCGGCACGAGAGGGGGCGCCGATAAAAGATGAGCATGGAGGAATCTCACCAGATATGGCGGCAATTTTTTTGGCGGCCAAGCGAGGATGACGCCTGGAAGATACACCAAGATGATCTCTGAGATCGAATTGAAGAAGAAATAACGCAAAGTGCTCTGTATTTACCAGGCTGACTAGCCGCTTAGGGTATGCAAAAATAAATTTAAAAGCCTCCAAAATAAAATTTGCACCGAATATGATTTAAACATAAATTATTTTTTTCAATGAATTAAATTTTTTATTCTCTAAATAGGATTTAATAATGACTAGTGAAAGAAAATGTCTTTGTGATGTTGTACATTTAGTTGAATAATGACTAATAGATAATGACCAATAGTCCTACACTGGAAAATAAAAACATATGGTCCTATATTAAGAAAGTCATTATATTTTAGTCCTATTTAGATAAATTATTCTTTAAAAAACATGTTATGAAAATTGAAAAGATGTATTTTGATATTTTTTCTATATTGACATTTTTTCTCGGGGTTCTTGTGTATCCATACAGGTATTTGAGCCTCTATTTATAATTAAGAGGTTCAGTATGAACACTCACACAAATCAAAGAAAAATATTTGTACAATTGACAACTTGATTATGATATTCATGTATACCTTGTTGAAATGTGGCGGAGGTGGTTGAGCTAAAATTTGAATAAATGAATACTTCACATATTTCATAACACTCCCCTTGAATATTCATTTTTTAAATAGTGATAGATATTTCGTGAAATAGGTGAATTTTGAGACTCATCCTAATTTTATGTAGTGCCTCAGAAAAAATCTTGTCAGAAAATAACAAGTGGGATAAAAATCTGATCAAGGGAAAAAGAGTACATTACATAAAATTCTTGGGTACGAGTTTTTCCAGTGTCTTGGTAAATAAATCAACGAGGTCCTCACTTGTCTTGATTTGATTGATCTCAACTTTTCCATCTTTCTCAAGATCATGATTTGAGAAAAACATTGGTAATATGTGCTTTGTTCGGTCTCATTTGATATAGCCTCCTTTAACTTGAATAATGCATGCAGTATTGTCTTCATATACAACAGTCAGATGGCTAATGCTTTTTTCTATACTGCATTCCCTCTAGATATGTTAGATCATTGATCACAGCCATACACATTATCTACCTGTTTCATAAAGAGCTATCAACTCTGCATGATTTGATGATATGGCAATCAAAGTTTCCTTAATTGATCTTCATGAAATTGCGGTATGTCCTTAAGTGAACACATTTCCTGTTTGGAATATTGTCTTTTGTAGATCACACAAATATCATGCATTAGCGTAAGTGCGTAACTAACTAGAGTGACATTGGCACCATTGCCGTAAAATAGACCAAAGTCGATGGACCCATTGTGATATTGGAAAATGTGTTTATGCCATTCCAATGCCTCGTGGTTGGGATGAATTGAATCTCGCTAACAAGTTTACTGAGAATGCAATATGTAACGCCCTAAAATATGCCCTAAAATTTATTAAATTATAATTCAATTAATCAAATTTGTTCTGATTAAAAAAATAATTATTGTTGGGCTTTGGCCGAAATGAAATATGTTTTGATATCCAATATCGAAATCTGGATAAGTCTCATAAAGATAAATCCAATATGTTGATTTTTGTGTGACCTTGATTGTGAACTTGGGTACAGACCCAAATCAAGAATAAATGAGAAATTTATTTGCGATGTAAACTTTGAAATGATTCATTGAAATAAATCATGATGAATGGAATATAAGAACATTTCTGAGTAAAGATCTATTAAATCAATTTTGACTCTGTCAGAGTCAAACACTCAAACTACCGAGCCAAGATATTGAAACTTGTCAACCTTAGGCACTAGGTGAGAGTCAATCCTAACTTCCACTTCTGACTCCATTTCCCGGCTGCTGAAACGACATTCCATGTATTTAGGAATGTCGTTTCAGCGGTATGTAAGTCAGAATCATCAAATATATGTAAGTTAGAATCATAATTTGACTGACCTTCAATAGGACGAAATGACTGAAGATTCTAGATAATTTCATCAATATGATCGTAAAGTGTGCACACTCCTTCATCGTGCTCAATTTCGCCATAAAGAACATTCTCCAATAAATCAATAAGTTTCTTCAATGCATCGGAAACCGCCGGCGGGTCGGAGCGTTTTTCGGCCAAATCCGGCGAAATTGACGGCGGGCATCCACTCCAATGTGCTCGTGGCATAAGGACGACCTTCAAGGACTCCTCAATCGCAAGATTTGATGACGATTTGCAAAACCTTCAATTTTGGACCCAATTTCGAATTTTAGGGTTTTTTCGAGTAGAAAAATTTAGATTCGAGAAGTTAATAGCTCCTCTTGTTCCATTATTATTATTTTATGTCCCACTATAATTTTGTTTGATACTCCATATCATATTTAGTTATATTCTGTTCACATTCATTTTTACTTTTTAACATTAATACTACAAAAATGTTACTTGTACACCAACATAGTATAAACCACTTTTACACTTTTGCACAGACACGAAATACCTGTGTAACATAAATATCATGTGCCAGTGTTAAATGTCGTATATGTTAGGCCCCCACTCCAAACAAATGGAAAGAAAAAGAAAAAAAGAACACACAATTTTTAACATGGTTCGGCACCTCAAGACCTACTCCACGACTCACTCTGGGATGAAATCTCACTAGTAATTTTTGCACGGAAAATTTACAAACCCTCTCTAATATTTGACACTCACAACCTAAAATATAATACAAAATTATATAGATTGAAGGATTGTGGTGTGATGGAAGTCTCTATCTCCTCTTTATTTATAGGCTCCAATACCTCCTCAAATTTTCTATCCCACCGATGTGGGACTTTGAAGTAACACTCAACAGTATACAAATACACACCATGTTGGATTGTTAGTGTACACGTATACATGTGAACGAACCGAATTGAAGCAATTACTGAGATATTTAGATTTGTATTTGTTTAATTATTTCTAATACGAAGCTGAATCTGAATATGAAACAAATTAATTTTCTGGAGGCCTTAACTTTAACACGGTGGAAGGTGGGAGATGGTATGAATATATAAATTTGGGAGGACCCGTGGCTTGGAGATAAATACTTCCCGTGGGTGATAACGCTTAATCCGGGTAGGGATGATATTATTAGTTTAATATTTTTATTATTTCTTATTGTGTTTGTAAAAAAAAATCTGGAGAAGCCACCTCCTAACTCTCGTCACATGTCCACACAATCTGCGTGAGAAGTTCAGGCATCTTTATTCTTGACACCGCTCATTTTTGAGAGTCTGGGTCCGCCACTGATGATACATGGTCTCAGATCTCATAATTACTGGTTCTTGGTATTGGCAACGAATTGATGAGATATTCGAGCGTCAAGAGAGGGAGCTTATCCAAGCTATTCTACTGCCACAAACAAGGTGGGAAGATTTTATGATTTGCGCCAAGGATAGGTCGGGTCATTATGCAGTCAAAAACACATACAAATCGTTCACGTGGGATGATTTGGCTCGGGGAAAAGGAACCTCTAACAGGTTATGGAGGAAGGTTTGGGCTGTTCGGACAATGCCCAATATTCGTAGTATGGTTTGGAGAGCGGTGAATGATATTATTCATTGTTTGAGTAACGTAGTGTTGAAGAGGGTTCCTGTGGAAAATGTATGTCTGCTTTGACATGCTTCAAAGGAAACAATATTGCATATTTTTTTCACTTGCCCCTTTGCAGTGTAAGTCTGGAGGATTTCTGACTTGGGCTGGCAGTCTCAGACAGTCCATAGCTTTTGAGATTGGATGATGGCAGTGTTTGAGTAATATATTGCACATGATCAATCCCTGGTTTTGCAAATTTTTTTGGGCTATTTGTGCAGCAAGGAATGCAGTGTTCAATCAAAAACCGCTTATTGGGTTTTTTTTTAAAAAAATTAGTCAGTAGGCCTCATGAACGGTATATATGGTCTTGGTTTCATTGCTCGGGATCACAATGGGAGTTTTATTGCGGTAAAAAATATCAGATGCAAAGGGGGGGAGGAATGTTATCATCAAATCAGATTGCCAGGATGTTATTGAATATTGATAGTTTGATGAGCCCGTCGAGTGGTTGGTCCTATTTTAGCACTATATTGATGAAGGTAAAAATCTCTTTGCTCGTTATGCCGGAGATTTTCGATTCTAGTTTATTCCTCGCTCTGCTAATGAGGCAACGCATCTCTTGGCGTGTGCATCTCATCCTTCCTACAGCTTGGGGGAGTGGTTTGTCTCACCCCTGGACTTTACTCCATATGTTTTTGATTGAATAAAAGTTAATTTCTTCAAAAAAAATTGTATTTGTATTTAATTAATATTCGAATAGTTAACGAATCATAACGAATATTTGATTAATCATACTCTGTAATTTATATAGACCCAAATTGATTTTGAATAATTGAACTTATAACATATCTTATACAATATTTGAATACATTAATACATTTGTGTTTTACACAAATTATATTTTAAAAATATACTACCTTCGACCGATGTATTTGACTTTTTTAGTTAAATAGGACAAACTTTGAACTTCAATTATTTTTGATTTATATTGCATCTTAGTATAAATGAAATAAAATTTTAAAAATTCTCAACAAGATAAATCTAATAAAATTAATTTTATACTTTTATATATATATATATATATATATATATATATATATATATATATATATGTATATATATATATATTGTTTAATTGAATGTCGAAGCTAATCTTGTTTTACTTCAAAAAGTCAAAATGGATTAACACATTGAGACAAGATGAGTAACTATTAAAAATTAAATGCTTTAGATTTTTTTGTTACTTAACTTGACATTATTTTAGTTATTTAAATGCGCTTTATACAATATAATTTTACTTGACTATTTATTTTGAAAACATGGTCTGTATATATATTCGAATATCATTCAAATCAAATACACCTTTATTTATATTTTTATTTGTTTAATATTCGAATCAAAACTAATCTTTGAATTTGAATTATTATACTTAAATACGAACCACAAATCCTTATACATGTAACAGGGCCGTTAATATTAATCACACCACTATTTTTCTTAATTCTTGTCATTTTCTCATGTCCAAAATAAGACCTCCACACCATAATCTTTGAGCATTTTTTTTGTAAATACCCCATATACTCCATATATAACCAGTCCACTCAAATAACTAACACAATCAACAATTAGATTACTGCAAACAACCAATTTCCAAACAAGACCTTATATAGAAAAAAAAATGATAGAAATAATAACAAGTCATGTGATGTGAAGAATGGGGAGAGGTGGGGGATCAATGTGAGAGTTGAGACTTAACTCACTTGAAAGAGCTAAGCCTGCAAATTGACTAAAGACTTGCATTCTTATAGAGTTAAGTAGTCTGAGAGAAAGAAATCAAACAACATATGAGCGGCGCGAGTGATTTTAAGGAAGCTTGTCTCTAAGATCCTTGAGAGCATTCACTACATGGGAATCAAGATTGTGTTTCAGCAATTTTCCTTGCATGGATGTAGATCTGCATGGAATGAGACTAACACATTTAGATCCCATGGAAAATACAGTTCATACAATAAAAAGTAGTTTTGTAATTTGTATATGGTATTTTTTACAATGTACTTTGTGAGAAGTCAATGGTCAGAAATTCACTAGTAGTACTGTAATGAACAATCTTTTTGGTACGGAAGGAGCATCAAATAACATAAAAATTGATCGAAAAATATCTTCAATGTTGCCCCATTATAAATTGTCAAAAAACTTTAAGAGAAAAAAAAAACCTAAAACTAGCACCAACACGATTGAGGCCTTAGAAGAAGAAAAAAAATACCTATGCTCTTGCAACATCGACTCAAGCTCCTCATGTGCAGCTTTGATCTGCATAGCCACAAAAATTGAATGTCAAAATATTTGAACATTTTGAACACTTAATAAATGTTACAGTACAAGGTTTGACAGAGTTTAATATTACCACTCCGTATCATAGAAGAATAGGAAAATTAATAAATCTAGAAATAATAGTACCCCATAGTATACATTGCATCTCTTCAGTCTATATCTTGATAGATAAATTTTTTTAAATGAATAAAATTGGATTAGAATGTTATACAATCACATATTATCTTAAAATTTATATTTTTTCATAAATTTATATAGAACCTTCAATCCAAACAAACCCGAAAATAATGATTGGATGAAGGGTTTTGGAAGGGCAAGTTTTGGAGAGCTTGATTTATATAATGATGAATAGAATGTTTTTAGAAACAAATAATGGGTGACTGAAATACTGTATCATGCATTATATTATTCCTTCTGATTTTATAAAATCATAGATATATATCATCACATACACTAATCCCCTCCAAAAAAGGCCTCCTTCCAAGGAAATGGTCAAATGGAGAAACTGCAAAACGCATGATCACATAGATGTGATGCTTTACAACAACTCAGTTCAATCCCACAAAAGTAGGGTCTAGGGAGCATGTGCGTATGCAGACCTTACCCCTAGTAGAAAGTATAGAGGCTATTTCCAAGAGACTCCAAGCTCGAGTAACACAAAAAACACATAGGACTATAAGAAAATGAAGGGCAAATTAAGGCATTAAGCGTACGAAGCATAATGATGGCACACAAATAGTTGCAAGCAAAAAGACCTCAAGCCTAGAACACACAACGAAAAGAAATAAAAACCACCACCAAAGTCCAAAAAACTACCCAACTACTCTAATCCTAGATCTCCAGACACTCCTATCTATGGTCATATCCTCGATAAGGGCTAAGTCCTACCTAACCACCTCCTTCTGATCCTTCTTCGGTCTATCCCTTCCCGCACCCCACCCACTATTGCAAGTCTCTCACATCTCCGTACCGAGGCCTCAACACTACGCTGCTTCATGTGACCAAACCATCTCAATCTAGCCTCTCTCACAGCTTATCCTCCACAGGTGCTACTCACACCCTTCCTCGATAACCTCATTCCGAATCTTGTCCAACCTTGTCTGTCCACACATCCACCGCAACATCCGCATCTCTGCTGCATGCAATTGCCGAACGTGGGCCTTCTTGACCGCCCAACACTTCGCTCCATAAAGCATAGCTGGTCTAACAATAGACCTATAGAACCTACCTCTCATTCCTGTCAAAATGTTTTTATCACACAAGACTCTTGAGGCCATCCTCCACTTAGCCTAAACGACTCCAATACGATGAGCAACATCCCATCTATCTCCCCATTGAATGATCGAGCCAAGATATCGAAACTTATCTCTTAGGCACTGTGTGTGAACCAATCCTAACGTCCACCGCTGATTCTGACACCCACCAAGTACTTCATCTTAGTCGTGCTCAGTCAGAAGCCAGAGACAGACGCCACAACTCCAACTTCTCATTGAGTCCCACACAAGTCTCGTTGATCAGTACAATATCATCAGCAAAAAATACACAGCAAGGAACCTCTTCTTGGACATCCTATGAAAGGACATCCATCACCTACGCAAACAGGAAAGGATTAAGGGCAGACCCTGGTGTAACCCTACCTCTACAGGGAAAGGATCAGAATTACCCCAATTAGTCTTCACCCTAGTCTTCGCCCCACTGTATATCACGAACTGCTCTAATGTAGGCAACTGGCACCCCTCTAAACTCGAGACATCTCCACAAGATCTGCCTCGGCACTCTGTCGTACGCCTTCTCAAGATCAATGAACACCATGTGCAAGTCCTTTTTCTTGGCTCTATACTCTTCCATCAACCTCCGAATGCGATGAATTGCCTCTGTGGTTAACCAACGATGTATAAAGCCAAACTGGTTCTTGGAAATGCACACCTCTTTCCGCAACCTAGCCTATATGTATGCTCCCAAATCTTCAAGGTGTGATGCTCTAAGGATCTTTAAATATCATTGTGGTATCTTCAGATAACCATGAGTGAGTGCGAAGGGAAAGATCATTATAGTGTCCCATGACAATTTGATATGGTAATAAAACTACATATTGTATGAGTTTTGCACATTACCTCAGATACCAATGCTTTGCAACTCCAAATAAAAGCTCCCTGATAAAATAATTTAAAGTGATGAAAAGTTTATTAAAATTGCTATACTACAGTCTTTAATTAGCTGCTACTTAGTACAAGTATTTACCTTACCATAAAAATCAAACTTAACCTCTGCCTAATAGATGTGGTTATCATTTTGGTGCCTGTGGCTGAACCCAAGTTACTTGGGATAATGATTAGTCGTTTTCACACACTGCCTAAGCTCCCACAAGGTGGAAGGAGTCTAGAAATGGGAATGTCAAAACAAACAGCCTTGCCTTTAGCATTTTTTACAAAGAGGCCGGCTCAAACTAGTCAGGACTTCCACCATTGTGCCCGGCCCAACCACCCTTTTGCCATTTTACTTGCAGAACAGAATATCTTATTTGCATATAAGATCGAAAAGACTAATGTCCTTTCAGATAGAAGTGATTAGCAATGCACAAATCACAAAATCAAACCCTTTTAATGGGACAGTCAAGCCCAAGATTTCGAGAACCAATACTAGTTTCTGTGTTTTAGAGAACTAGCATAAAATAAAACCCACATGCATGAAAATAATGGTGAATAATCCATGATGATGACAACATATCTCTCAAATATTTCTAACAGCTTTATTCAACTCCAAACTACATATCGTCCTGCATCGCCAAATAACACTACTTTATTTAGTAAACACATAGGACCATGTGGATTTTCGAGCTAGCTGTTACTAAGTGAGTATGAAACTGTTATCATGTTCTTAGAATAACATCAAACACTTCTACAAATACAAATGTTTTTATTGAGAAAAAAATCAAGTTAATCAGATAATTTTTCTAAATTTCACCAGAAACACTTTTAACCATTTCAAAAGCAAGGAAAGCTCATACATGCACTAAACCATTGGAACCGTTGATGCTATTAAGACAAAAAAATGAAATTAAGCTAAAACTTTTAGGACCAAACTTGATTTTTGTCCCTGTCATGAAGCCTGTAGACCAGTTGAACAATGGGTTGAAAATAGGGAGCTAGAACGAGTAGGGCTCTTGGCAAGGCAACCAATAATTATCCAACCCCCAAAACAAACTCCAAAGTTTGTTTTGGTAAGGACAAGGCCTCAAGTGACCTTTCCTTACAAAAAACGGGGGCAAAAATAAGACGAGAAAAAACATAGAGATTTACTCCGTTATAAACGATTTCAAAAGAAACTAAAAAGTACATACAGCTCCATACGCTGCATGTTGTTGATTTTTGTCAGACGTCGCAACCCAAACTTTTGGGCAGCCATCCTCCCTCAGAGCTGAAACCTTTTTTAAATATAGAAATCAGCCGGACACAGACAGAAATGAAACATTGCACCATATTATTGAGCATATGCTTACCTCTTTCTCAATCCATGCATCAGCACAAGTTTCGGTTGAATAAACCACATCAACTCTGCAGCGCATTATTGATAATAGCAAAATTTAAATACAAGTGATGTTAGAGAAAAACTCAAAGATGGATAAGGTGTAGAAGGTGACCATGAACTTTAAAATAATATGGAGTAATATTATTGGGGAAAATAATGAGTAAAACTTAGGTGCTGTTCTGTTCACCTTATTATTTTTACTGATGACCTATTCTTATCAAATTATAACCCAAACATGTAATATTTAGACCAGACATATTGTCGGAATGGCAGATGGCCCAGATCTTTTAAATTTCAGATAAGATCATATTAGTATGTGTGGTTCTGAGAATGAATACGTACTAGATTTTTTATGGATAAATACTTACTAGATTTTAATTATCAGTAAAAGTAATCTCATGTATCACAGGGCATTTCCAAAATAATCTGTAATATTGATAGAATTTGATACATCCTGATAGACATATACTCCCTCAGTCCCTAAAAGTCTTTCTCATTTCTTTTTTCTTTGTCCCCAAATGCTTTTCCCTTTTTTTATTAAAAAACCAAAATTCTTGATTTACCTATCACGTCATATCTATTCACTAATAATCTACCTATTACATCCTACTTTTACTCATCACAACAAGAATATCTTTGGAAAGGCAACACACAAATATCCATCCCTTAAATGTCATAAAAGTCAAAATAGGAAGGAGACGTAGGGACGGAGGGAGTATCTTGTAGAAGCATAATTAATAAGGTTCAGAAAAACTATACCCAACAAAGGTTTCACTATGCATAGGCATCCCAGACATCATAGCATCAAAAACAACAACCACTTTTACCTCTGCAATTGTTTCAATACATATGAAAGAAGCAATCTTTAAAACGTAGAAGATAATGTTTAATGATTTCTTTTTTTTTGGGGGGGGGCTAAAATTGTTTTTATCAGAGTATTTGTTAAATGGGTCGAAACAAGTGCCTTAGTAACAATCAATATATGGTAGAATAACAAGACCGATAATACGTAAAGAAGAGCAAAGCAAACCTCTAACCATGCTGAATGTGACCAGTTCATCAATAAGTTTTTGCCGAGCAATGTCTAGCCGTCCATTCTTGAAATGTTTTTTCAACTTAGCCCAAAAGCCGCACACATTATAACCGTCAACAAGCAAGACAGGAATTGCAATGCCTACCACCTGATTTGTTCTTTAAAAAAGAAAATTTGCAAAAAAAAAACAACCATCAGTAGCTTACCCAAACTAGAACCAAAGGAACAGAAAAATTGAGCCGACAAAAGAGCTGGGAGAAGCATTACAAGTAAAGACTGGGAAAGGGATCTCTAAAGAGCTCCATATCTTTTGGAAGTTTTTCCTTCTCTGCCTTCTTTTTACGATAACTAGTAGCAGGCTTTGCACATTTAGATCTTCTCCTTTCCATTTCCTACATTGTAATGCACGTTGTGACAATGTGACCCCACAGAAAGAATCTATCAGAGCGTTTTACTTGATCAGCCAACCTTCAGTAATCTCAAATAACGCATGTTCTGCTTCAAACTTGATGTAATCCTAGGAGGCTCTGAACCCTAGGCAAAGTGATCACATTAAAACTTTGAGTGCACCAGCATATAAAAGAATTCAAAAATATCCAGCAAATATGAACATATATTGGCCTTCTTTGAAAGTTACTCCCTCCGTCCACCTATGATCTTCCCATTACGCGTTACGAGTCATGACCGACTTTATTTTCAATTTAATTTATTTGACTATACTGATAAACTTTAAAAATAAATTAATATAGTAAAAAACTACATGAAAAGATCTACAAAACTAGAGGTGACAGGACTATATTATTTTATGAAATGAGTAGTAAAATAAGCAAACAAAGTGAGTTAAGTTTGACCCTGCAAATAGTATCCGGGAAGATCTATGGCAGACAGAGGGCTAGTGGTGCTAGATATATTGAACAGTTGATTCGTTTAGCGGTTTTGACCGGCGAGTTGTGTTGGCTATTAAAAAGTGTTAAATATAATTGGTTGTTTACAAATGCCTTTTATAGATGAAATTATGTATAAGGACATGCTTTCATTAATGTAATTAATGTTTGATTATTACTTTTATAATTTAATGATTAATTTAGTTATACACTTACATGTAAATAAGTATTGCCTTTACAAATCATACTGACTTCAAAGGAATCGCTAGACAAGTGATGCCTCACATGCTGACTTGGACCCTTTGGAAAAGCTACAATAGTGTTACCTATGATGATAAGGCAGTTCATACCAACAACATTATTCATCAAACTATATCTATTTACAAATCGTGGTGCTTTACTAATCAAGGGAGGACATGGATGATGGCTGAAAAAGATTTGGATAGCAGGATGATTGGCCCTCTTTGGAACAAAGGGAGCTTGAGATTTAGTTGGAAATTTAACTTTGTTTCCTCTTCCATAATGTGCTAAATGTATTACCTTCCCTATGTACATTATATTCTATTACGAAGTAAAAAAAATAGGCATGGGTTCCCCAAAAAAATAAAAAAATAAGCATTGCCTTCATATTATAATGTATGTGAAGAGAAATGCATTTTAATTATTTTTGTTATGGGTGTGTGTATTGTTGAATGTTGACAGAGAGAAAACAACAACAACAACAACAACAACAACAACCTAGTTATATCCCACAAGAGTAGAATCCGGGGTGTGTGCGCAGACCTTACCCCTACTCGAAAGTTGGGAAGTTGTTTCCAGGAGACCCCGGCAAAAGAACACATAAGACACCAAGAACAGAGAAAACATGGTGTAATAAAATAGGCATGGGTTCCTCAAAAAAAATTTAAAAAAATAAGTTTTGCCTTTGTATTATAATATATGTGGAGACAAATGTATTTTAATTATTTTGTTATGGGTGTGTATTGTTGAGAGAGAGAAAACAAAAACAACAACAACAACAACAACGACCTAGTTAGATCCCACAAGAGTGTGTATGCAGCCCTCACCCCTACTCGAAAGTTGGGAAGCTGTTCCCGGGAGACCCCCGACTCAAGTAAGATAGAGAGCACATGAACACAGAAGACACCAAGAGCAGAGAAAACATGGAGTACAAAAAAAAGACAAGAGCAAACTAAATAACGTAGGAAAGGCACGACAAGCAAAGAGCATAAAGCATAAAGCGCCAAGCATAAATAGCACACAACAAGTGTGAAAACTACCACCAAGCCCAAACGCCTACCCAACTATGCTAATCCTGACTTTCCAAATGTTTCTATCTAAGGTCATATACTCGGTAAGGACCAGAAGTCCTAGGTCCCTGCCTAATCACCTCCTTCTCATTCTTCCTAGGTCTACCCTTTCCTCTACAACCAACCCCAAGGGTTAAACCCCTTGGCATTTTGAAATTTGCCATTTCGGAGCAAACAGCCAATTGAAAGAGCTTGTTTCGCCAAACACTTAGTTTCCAAAAACCAGCCAAAGCTAATCAAACCAGCCAAGAATTGTTGAGCACCGGAAGACCAAAATGTATCGGCGATGGCCACCTAAGAAGATGCATGATTTTCTCGACATCTTAGGACTCCATGTTTTTCGCCATCGTCCATTTGGTATAGTTCAATCTCAATTTTATTGATTATCTGTTACGATGCTACTGTCCTTTTTATTGAATCTATGATATCTCCATCTGCAACAATGTTTGATATTCCTCACCCTTTTGAACCCATTATACGTTCCACACTTCCACCTCCACTTTCACCTTTATGGTGTGTCGATTCATACTATAGTACTATACTACTAGTGGTAACAGAGGTAGCGCGAGCAACACCACGAGGCAATAGAGATGAAGCAAGCATTGGAGGCAACAACAACATAGGTGATGCAAGCATTAGAGGTGGTGGCATAACTGGCATTGGTGGTGATGTTACTGCTCCAAAAATCTCACACAACTCTATCGCTCTTTTACGTTTCTCACATTCATATTCAATCAATATTAACATTGAACTCCCTTCAAAAGAACTTGTTTTTTTACGAGATCTTCTATATGCATGAGGGAAGGCTTAAGGAACTCTCTACCCCAAGTTGTGGATGCTCAAGGAAGAGCACAAGATGAATCTTGAAAAACTTAGGAAATTTTGTACACTTCTCGTGTCCAATGCACTTGAGCTTGAGTCTGCTACCTCACAATTAGAAGCAACAAAAGACACTAGCAATCCCAAAACAAATACGCTTTTAGATCAGAAGAAGTTTATTAGATCTGAAGAGGTTTATTAGATCTGAAGAACTGAAGGGTGCTAATGTTGAGTGAATCTATGGAGCAATGGCATCCTCGCAAATACCACTGCCTGTGACGCTTGCATTTCCTTTAATGCCTCTACCTGTGTCACCTCCAACACTTGCATCGCCTCTGCCTCCACTACAACTAGCAATTATAGTATGAACATACACGGCACCAAAGGTGGAAATCGAATGAATCAATAATGGGGTCAAACAGGGAGTAGTATTGGGACGGAGGGAGTAGTATATAAAAAAAAGGAGTTGTGATAACTGTATGCCTTTCTAACAACCACAATATGACGCAAAGTTGCAAACAATTGTACCATGACAGTTCAGTAAACTGTTTAAATTCCAGCTAGTAAAAAGCAAACAACTTAACTGCTCAATTCATATTAGACATGGGCAATTGATTTCTGGTGCGGGGCAGGAAAGTTCATTGGCAGCTGTGGATGATGGAGTTGGGTAGCCTTTTGAATAAAAGGAATTTTTATTTATTAGTTAGTCATTCACACTTCAAATCAATGACCAAAATTAGATACCTAAAGAACTATTTTTGCATTATTAGTGTGCACGCATGAACGTCCAATATTAATTTGAATTTTCAAAGGGAAAATATAAGTGCTTTCTTATCAGCTTTGAATGTGGTGGTGTGTGACAGCTACAGTGAGATCTTGGTGAAGGATAACAAGAAACCTAGGAGGACCGGTTTCGCATTAATGCTTTAATAATGTGCTAATTTTGTTCAATTAATTCATATTCTTTTTTCATCAATGCAATACTCTTTAATAATGTGACCTTAGATAGAAGGGTGTGGACATCTATGACTAGAGTAGTAGATTAGCCTGCGCATTGTTAGTTTTACTAGTTCTTTTGGGGAATCAACACTTTTTCTTGTTTACGTTGTGTGCTTTCTATGTTTGGTGCTCTTTTCCTTCTCTCCTTTGTTTCTTTCTGGTGTTCTTTTTCAACCATTAGCTTGCTCTCTTGTATTCAGGCTTTGTGCTTTCTATTGTGCTCGAGCTTGGGGTCTCTAGGAAGCACCTCTCTACTTTCGAGTAGGGGCAAGGTCTGCCTACATACACCCTCCCTAAACCCTACTTTTGATGCATACTAGGTTGTTGTTGTTGTTTGCAATGCCCTTTAACAATGTGTTTTTTGTTTGTTTCTATCAATTATTTGTGAAAAGTCTAAAACTTCTTTCAATTCGAATCAACAAGAGCTATAGATCCTTTAATGGAGATGGCTGTTAGAAGAACTCAAGATTTTAGGGGCAACTCAAATCAACAAGCCACAGCAAACTCGAGACTTGATTTGAAGCCAGCATGAATATTCAAAGCACAAACAATATTTTAAAAAATGGAAAATTATTGAAACAAGGGTTAGATATACCTTAGGAGAAGATGGATGCTGGTGTTTGTTATTGTTCTTCTTTGCTTCAATTCTTGGAGAGCGATAGCTCCATCCAGAATCATCAGCACAGCCAATTCTCAGAAGAAGGATTGGAGAAGATGATATTGCAGCTATGGACGATATACCCTTCATAGGATTGCCGACATTTCACTATTCTTCATTGTCTTCCACTTAAAACCTAGAACCTCAAATCACCAACTCGCTCTCAAATAGCTACGCTTTTTAATTGGGAACTTTATTATTCAAGTTTCTGAATTCATTTCGTATTTTGAGTCACTTTCATGCCGCAGTGAGATGATGAAAAAGAAGGTACGTTGACGTCTTGAGTACCAAACCACACAGATTTTGAGACACCGATTGCCATCCGACCCGTATCCACTCTCCCACCCTTCAGTCAGTTGACTTTTGGAATCAACATTTCATTACAAAGTCAACTAAACATTATGTGATGAAATTAAAAAACGGAAAGAGTAAATTTAGGAGGTGCTTCTTTTTGGTAAGAAGAGCTTCTAACCACTTATGTTACGTTGTGCTAACGCGAGCAGACATTGGGGATGCGTAGATTTTTTGTTTTTTAGAAGACAAATCACTTAAAAACGTCTTCCAAACATCTTCCTCAAGTAGACATAAATCCTTAGCTTCTCACGTCTTCTTGATCTCAAAACCTACCCGTCTTCTCATCCGCCTCCCTTCCCGATCTCAAAACCTACCCATCCGCCTCCCTTCCTGATCTCTCCTGTGCGCGACCCTCTACTGCCGGAGTCTCCACCACCGTCGGAGACTCCTCTCTCCCTCCGCCGGCTCTCCTCATTCTCCCCAGCCGTCCGTCGTTCCTTGTTCGTCATTCGCCGTCCGTCTTCCTCCTTCTAACCGTCCGCCGTCCATCAGTCGTCCGTCTCACTCCTCATCACCTTCAGCGACACCTCCTCCTCTCAAAGAAGCAAGTTTCTTTCACTTTTTTTGGTTTTTTTAATCTCTTTTTTTAACAATTTTTTTTAACATTTTTTTGTTGTTAACAATTTGTACAATAATCTATGTTTTTCTACATTCTTATTATTACGGAATAAAGTAATTGATTAATCAAAGTAAACAAACTACAACAGCAATTAGATCCCAATACAACAACATAGAATGTGTAACGCCCTGAAAATAGGCCTATCAGTATTAATTAATTGATAATTAATTAATTACTGATAAGGACCCAAAAATAAATAAATTTTAAAGTTTGTCAATAAATAATGAAAATTATATCAATGTGTAGAGTTTGACTGTCTGATCCCAATGGTTCAATCGGATTTCAATTTGGAGAAATTTAGACCAAAAAGTGTACCCGATTAGGACCAAAATTAGTCCCAATCAGGGACTTACGTTTGCAGCCCGTAGAAATCGCCGCTCCCTCCACTGAGACGCCACAACAGTAGCAACCATGTCTTCATGCCATTGCTCCTTCCTATTTAAACCCCTCAAAACTTCACCATTTCTTCACCTTTCTCCTTCAAATAAACTCTGAGAGAAAGCTGTGAGTGTGGAGAACGAAGTTGTGCTGTCAATTTGGTGTGAAGTCGACGGAGCAAGCCACAATCCTTGCCGGAAGTTTCGCCGGAAAATTTCCAAAACCTCCATTACGCTTCGAGGCAAGCCCGTAGATATATCTAGTGATTAGAATATTCATATAGATCGTTTTTACGTTTATAAACGATCGTTTGGTTGAGTTTTTGTGTTTGACATACTTAAGAACCATAAATCATAAACCTTGAATTTGATGTTAAAAAGATGTTTTAATGATCCCAAAATGATCTATGAACCTTGGAGAACATTTCTATATAATTTAATTGAAGTTTGGTGATTAAAAATGATAATACTCAAAACTGACCAGAGGAAGAAGACGATGAACAGTAGCCGAAAATCGATTATTTACTCCTAAGAATCGATTAGAACCTTGTTCAGAGATGAGATGCTGGAAGACAGAAAAACATATTCGATTATTTTATTA